AAGTTTGGTGCCCAGCAAGCTTTGCACCAAAAACTCTCACTGAAGTCCCCATTTTTCACAAATAGGGGTGTGTTTTAACCAGTGCCAGCGGGGGCTGACTGGTGGGCATCAGCAGACGCAGATCTGAGGACACGATATGGCTCCGTCTGCCATTATCTGCCATATCGCTTTGATCTGAGGACCGCTGTACCTCCCGGCTCCGGGACATCACTGCCCTTCACGTCAAAGTCCAAGCAGCGACGGTATCACAGATGACAAAGAAAACCAAAGTAACTGAATAGTAAATGATGGACTGCAGACAGAAGCCTGGTAGGACTACGGAGCATGCCGACACAATAATGAGCTGAGGAAGGGGCGGGGCATGTGGCAGGGAGGGCGTGGTCACCAGCTGAAATGTGGGAGGAGTCAGCACATATGACACACCTTGTTTTCCCTTGAGTCTCTGCACGAAGCCTCGGGTCCACTTCTTGGGGGCCATGTTGAGCGGAATCCCAGAGAGCTCGCTGTTGATGTAGAGGGCGCACTGCAGCTGCAGGAAGTCCCAGTCCTCCATGATCATTTGGGTCTTGGCTCCCGACATGCGATGCTGCTCAGAAAAGGGATCATTACACATTCATTAGCTGGATAGGAAAAATGTTAATACTCACTATGTAGGGGGAATTCCTAACCTGAAATTCCACTCACTATATAGGGGGAATTCCTAACCTGAAATTCCACTCACTATATAGGGGGAATTCCTAACCTGAAATTCCATTCACTATGTAGGGGGAATTTCTAACCTGAAATTCCAGGGTGAATATTTAAATTTCACCACAATACTGAAAAATGACATGTATTAAAGGGGCTTTAGTGTCATCTATCCATCTAGGTTGTTCTGCTGGAAGGTGCAGAGTTATGGAGATATCGGCTGCAGAAATGTTCGTCTTCTCTAGAATATAATGGGACTGAAAGGCATTCTTTCTGTGGTGATTAAGGCACGAGAAAAATACATTTCACAAAAATTCAACAGCAACGTCTTTCCAGAAATCATGACCCGGTTACTCAAGATAATTCACAGACTTTGTAGTGAGCAGTTTAATGTAGGAATTATTTTCTTCTACCAAACTCCACACACAAATCGTATCATCACACAGAACATATAAGCACGAGCACAAACACCCCAGTAATTTATTCTGTGCAGTGGTACGATTCATTTGCAATGTTTATGCAATGATATCCACTAAAAACAGAAATGGAGATGTTCAGTATATCCAGAAAAGTATGGCATCCATAGAATCATGTTACACCCCAAGCAATTTCCCAAATACTGTTACTCCTGAACGCATCTCCTTAACACATCTAGTGCCCGTCTTTGTGCCAGAAACACAGACTGTCTAACGCCACAGTGGAGGCTGTCAAAGCACAGACTAAATACTGGGCTTAGTCAAGGAGCTCTTGGTATAAAAAAGCCACTTTGCCGTCAGTGGCCTGTTGGCAGCCGGGTGTCATGACAGAGGGGGACAGGACGACAGAAACTGCCACCCGCTCCGCATGAATGACAATTACGGTCGTCATGGACACACATAAGGCTGTACCTTCTTGATGACATCATTGAGGAAGATGATCTCCGTGAGCTTCATGGTGAGGTCGTCCTCGTTGGTGCCCGACTTGAGGTCGCTCACGACGGAGGGCCGGATGCAGAGGGGGGGGACCAGGAGGCGCGTGAGGATCAGGTCCGCCGGCTTGCCGGACTCGGGGTTCATCAGCAGCAGCGGGACGTCCTCCGACGGGATCCTCCGGAACAAGTTCAACACCAGCAGGGGACTCAGGTTCTCCTGTGGGATGCCAAGATCAGAAAAGGCATACAAGGCTTTTAACACGCCTTACTTCTAATAAGCCATTTATGTGCCGGTCAGCAACAATAAAACATGTTCCACATAAACAAAATGCTCTCAAACCACAACATAATGACCAGGCCGCTCACCTGACCTAGGTCGCCTAGGTAACCTAAGGACCAGGCCGCTCACCTGACCTAGGTCGCCTAGGTAACCTAAGGACCAGGCCNGACCAGGCCGCTCACCTGACCTAGGTCGCCTAGGTAACCTAAGGACCAGGCCGCTCACCTGACCTAGGTCGCCTAGGTAACCTAAGGACCAGGCCCTCACCTGACCTAGGTCTCCTGAGTAACATATGAAACAGGCTCACTTATCGGAACCGGGCTTACCTGAGCTCGAGTCAGTAAAGGTTCCACTTCTTTGTTGTGCTCTATCGCGATATCGAAGGACTGAAGGAAGTCAGACACAATCGTGTCCACGACTTTCTTGGTGGTCTTGTACTTCTCGTGGATTATCTTAAGCAAGCCACACTTTTTTACAGGGCCTGCAAAAACAGTGATCAAATACCAGCACGTTGTTCAGAACAATGAAGAAAATGATGTCAAGGCATCCCATACAAACAACTTAAACCTGAAAAATTCAAGGACATATGAGTTTTACATAACAAAATTAAATATTTGAAGGATTTTGTTCTTCAAGAATCTGTGATATGAGCACACAGGAACATTTTCAATTGCACAATCAAAACAAGCAAAAATGTAATTATCCATTTCAAATACTGCCTTTAATTTGGAATTAGGTGACAACTACGCTATTTGTAACTTTAATAATAAGGAGAAAAAAGCCAGTATTTTATGAATAATTTACCATTAAAGGCAGAGCAGTTTAGACAGATGGTCTTTTTACGACATTTGTCCGAAATCTTCTTCTTTAAACCCCTCTTCTGCAGATAAGCTAAACCGGGCCGTCTCAAGTAATCGAGGAACTGCCTCTTCTCCTCCTTGGAAAGCATGATGTGCGAACAGGTTTTGCAGATCATCTGCATAGAGCGAAAGCAGGAGGAGATGATTTTAAATGAATATGACAGAAACGGGTTAGGATACATAGAGACTTCCTGGCACGTTCACGATATGACGGATATGAGGTGCCTGATAAATAAAACCGTCTAACACATCACTCTGCATTTTCCTGGCAGAAAGAGGTAAGGAGTGTTGAGAAGAGAGAGACTTCCATAAACACAGAGAGTGGAATTACGACACACCATGCATGTCGATCAATGGTCAGCTTATCGTCAGCTACAGAAGTGGAAAGTTCAAATCCGGAAAAGTACAAATCTAGACCACGGTTTTCTTCCAACCAACCAGTTATGTACTCTGTGACCGTGACTCATTATACTCAACTGGTTGATTGGAACAAAACCTTGGTCTGGAATCATACTTTCTGGACATGTACTTTACACCTCTGATCAGCTAGACCCCACCTTGGCTGAATCCAACAGTTATCGATCAGATACAACAACCCTGTACTTCACATCCCGAGCCACGTTTCTCCCATCGGCCGATGACCGTGCCTGGAGGATCACGATAATGGCCTTGAAATATCCCACGTGGAAACAGGGTAGCTCCAAGTCAAGATAGCCATAATGCCCCAGGCAGTCGGCCAGATTCTTCCCACACGTCTCGCACGGTCTGTCTTTCTCGCTCGTGCCCTACGACGCATGGAGAAGAGAGAGGATGCTCACTGCCCGGTTATGGGGCTCAGCCCAAAAGCAGACAGACAGCGGAATAAACAAAGCAAGCAGAAGCACGGCCTTACCATGCGGTGGTCCAGGACTCCGTAGGGCAGCGGCGTGTGGCTGGTGTCCTGGCTGTAGAGGTTCTTGCTGACCACCTGGATGTGAGCCTGCTGCCGCATCTGCTCCGCCGATTTCATCCCGAAACAGATGTGGCTTCTGTACGGCGGAGGAGAAAAACGCAAGGGGACACCAAGATAATATGAGGCACGCATGTGAAGTTTACCATTTCTGCAGTCACGACACTATGTAACATTTCGGTCGTCAAGAATATAATACGGTAAAAAAAAAAAAAAAAAGGGCGAAAGTCATGCCTGTATCCCAGGGGGGTGATATCATTGTGATCAACTCAAGAGAGCCACAACAAGTACTGCATAAACTTTAGCAAAACTATTCCAAAATATTCCACAACCATATCTGGTAATCCTACTAATCATCTTGTTTTGCAAATGCATATCTATTGCGGAAACACAAACGACACGAAGCTAAATTGCATTAACAAAATAACACCAAATGGACTGGCAAATTAAATATGTAATGAGATAAGGAAAATGTGTATGATGGCACTCACATCTTTTTGGCCACATCTGTTTCTCTAAACTGCTCCTTCACCATCGTGACACTTCTTTACGAAAGCAAGGCTCTTGGAGAAATGGAGGCTACGAAAAGCACTGCCGTCAGTCTCTGAATATCACCGGTTTAAAGCACATTCACCCACCCCACCATCGATGCATGTCACCATGTTTCTTTCCGTACGGCGCTGCAGTCTGACCTTTAACTCGACAACGAGCTCTAACAAGAGTACGACCCCAAACAGGGCTGCTCTCAGCAAACACTGCCACCCAGTGCCTAAATGTCGGCAGCGTCGCGCTTCTTCGAATGGAACCTCAATATTGTCAAATTATCAATGGCCACCAGTTTGCTAGTACTACTGATGCATTACTAATTTATTATACACAGGGATGCACAGGTTCGCATACACCTTTAAAAGTGATTTAATCGATTGTTGTAATTTTAATTATCTCACATAAATCATCGTGCATTTTAACCTTTATAAGCCAATTTGTGCTTTTGCAATAGGTATTGCGGTATAAATGCTAAAACCCAGGGTACTTTCTTGTCATAGCAGAGTAAATGCACATCAGTACGCACATCTAGATACAACAATCGATTGCCGCACGTACTGCTTTTAAACGGTGAACGCGTCCTTGCGTACCAGTTATGAATTATATGTATGTATCGTGTATTATATGTATCGTTTTAATGTGGCACACTGGTGAAATGGTGTTTGTAAACGTATCCTGAGCTGCCCCCCATTCCTAATATAATTTAGCGTTGAGATTGTTACTGTCACATCCCATCCACTAGGTGGCCGCAGCGCGCCTTGCGCCATAAGAGCGGGCTGTTTTCTATCAGGCAGTTGCGCGGCCACCCCCGTGGCACCGCGGATCAGGCATATCATCGGTCACCAGGCTGCCCTTCTTCCTTTTACGCTTCCCTGCGAGAGCCGCTGCCAATATGGTAAGTCTAGCGCGGCTGCCATCCGATTTAAAATCTTCAATTATTTTCGCCATCTCGTAGTAGTAAGACATGAAGCACATTCCCGAGTTTAAGTATAAAGTTTCTATACGTGTATTGCATTGTATTTGCGGTGTTTTTGGTAAAATTATTTGCCTTTCGCGAGTACCTCCATGATCAATTTTGACACGACAAGGCCGTGTAGGTTGCGGCTCAAAATTAATACGTAAGACCTAAAAGAGATGGTATATCACATATATAAACCGTGGTTTGAATTATAACCAGTCAATCCCGTTCTATCGTTGTACCTTTTATGCCTGGAACTAAGTTGGTAGCCTGTTAGCTTTTCCTATAGTGTACTAGTTAATAGCATCCATGCTGGCTACCCAGAGCTTGATGGTTTGTACGGTTATTAAAGTTCAGTATACTTTTGCAAAGGTTTATCCCATTCCCAACTTCAGAAATCAGATGTTTGTTATTGCCCGCTAATTGACTGAGGTGAAGAGCACTGTCCTCCTCAGGTGTGATTAGCATCGGTTGTTCACTGTATGCTTATTGTTAATTACCACTGATAGAACTGAATATTTAAAAATGTTCATGGTGTATTTTGCAGAATGACACCGTGACTGTAAGGACGAGGAAGTTCATGACGAACCGCCTGCTTCAGCGGAAGCAGATGGTATGTAATGCTTTTTAACATTATTTTGAACCACTGTGACTGTGTGGATATGGCCTTGCTGCTTGTTTCCTCTGAGCTCCCATACGCTGGTGGCTTTCTAAGCAAGCTCTCCCTTTCTTCCAAGGTTGTCGATGTCCTGCACCCTGGCAAGGCAACAGTCCCCAAGACAGAAATCCGGGACAAGCTCGCCAAGATGTACAAGACCACCCCCGATGTGGTGTTCGCATTTGGCTTCAGGACCCAGTTCGGTGGCGGTAAAACAACAGGCTTTGCCATGATCTACGATTCTCTGGACTACGCAAAGAAGAATGAGCCGAAACACAGGCTGGCCAGAGTGAGTCGTCTTGATGTACTGAGATGCTGGGCTTGATTGGTCCCCAGCTCAGGACTGACCAATAAGCAGGCTTTGCTGGTGTTTCCCAGCATGATCCAGTGAAAGTTCTGATACCTTCTTCAGCAGCCTAATGTGTTTGCAATTGTACCACTGAAGTCTATCCTCAGTGCGGCACACAGCTCATGCCATAGGAATGTTGGTCTCCCGATTGGTCAAATCTACATTTTAGGAAATGCATAGTTCTAGTAAGTTGTAGGCATGTTTGAGATTGGAAATATGAAAATGAAATTGTGCTGCTTTTTTTTTTTTACCATTTACCCAAGTGCAGGTATATTGTAATTCACTACTTTTCACATATTCCATCTTGTCTCTTTTGAGACAGACTGAGTAAACAATCACACATACAGTTCAGAGCGAAGCCTGGGGTCAGGCCATTAATTCTGCAACTCCTAATTTTGATTCCTGAAGCATTTTGGGCCATTGCTCAAGGGCCCAGTGGGCATGTGACTGTTCTGTAGAAGATGGGACTTAAACCAGCAACCTTTGAATCTGACACAGACCTAACCCACTGTGCTTCCACCTCCAATAACTTTTTTTAAAGCAAAAAGCTACACATTTGAGACGCACTGAGCTAGTCCCTGGAGCTGTTGCATGTTAAGGGCCTCATTCAAGGGCACAACAGTGAAATTACTTTGCCAGCTATGGGATTTGAACCAGCAACCTTCCGGTCAGGCACAGAGGTCTAACCCACTGAGCCACACACCATCCTCCCTAATTTACTGTTGGCCATTTGTTTATAGAGCTGTGTCATTAAATCTCATTACCCTGTTGTTCGATCGCTTAGACCGTTAAATTTAAACTGAGGGAATCTGCTTTTGGGAATTTGTGTGGGATTTAATTCTGCCTGGAAACCGCTGTCTGTCCACACGCATGGGAACGGTGGTCAAGGCCCAGTCCTGCACAGACTGAGCTCACAATGTGGTTTGTGTGTATATACAGCATGGCCTGGTTGAGAAAAAGAAGTCGTCCAGGAAGCAGCGGAAGGAACGCAAGAACAGAATGAAGAAGGTTCGCGGTGTCGCTAAGGCTAGCGTCGGCGCGGCTGGGAAGAAGGTAACGTCTGTCGGCCTTTTGGGAGACGTCGGCCATTCATAGGCGATGACCTTCTGACAAGGGGTCACTAGCAGTATAGATGTGCTGCATCAGTCACTGCACCTTTCCTGCCAGATTCGTTTCAGTTAAGCCTTGTGCAGGGTAGCTCAATTTGTGTTTTAATGTAAATGTTGCTTTAATTTGTCTTTCTTTTTTCTTACAAATCGTATCTTCTGGAAAACAGAAGGTAAATAGCTCTGTGTGTGTATATAGCTCCTTTTGCATCTAACCTGAGAAGGAGTTGGATGCTAATACTTTGACTGGCTCTTAGTGTTTAGAAGCTGTCAACTGCTTGTCATTCACAGCTGCTCCCTACAGTTTACTAAAGTGCTAAACTGTAATGGCATTTCTTTCCAGTAGCGAGTCAGGCTTGCCGAGATTCAGCTACGTACACTGTCACTGTCGCGCTCTCATTTTCTGTTTTCCTTTATTTTTCTTTTACGTTCCTTGGACGTGCTCAGAAGTGAAGTTTCTGTTGCAGGTATTATAGAACCAGCATGGTGTGTAGAGTTGCTGAGTTCTCCCCTGTTTTTGACCCTGTTCTTGTAGTGCTTCCTGCTCCCTCCTAGTTTTGATTCAAATATTGGCACCTCTTCTGCTTCCTTGTGGGGGCACTCAATTTAAGTTCTGTGTGGGTTTTTTTTTTTTTTTTTTTTTTTACTGATAAGTTACTCCGCCCAACCTGTTAACCTACAATAGTGTTTTTTTCCTCATACTCAGCTTAACTCAAAAGAAAGGGTAACATTGGTGCACAGTCAGTGAATGGTGTGCGAGTGGTTCGATGCTCTGGGACTTTTGCTCTCTGGCTTCGAGGTAGAGCAGTTCTTGCAGTGACCCAGTGCCCAGGGCGCAGTGCAGCAGCAGTGCATGCTTGTCACTTTCTAAACTTCTGCCCCTCGGCACGTAGTCAGTCACGCCTTTGCTATTTGTGACGGTCGCCTAACTTGATCGTTTGCGGCCGCCGACCAGCGAATCATGATGTTAAGGTCACTTGTTCTACAGTCCCGGCAAAATGTTAGCGGCGCTCGATAAAATTTTAGGGCATGCTAGTGTCCACTAATAAGCTAGCAAACTACGAGCATGAAGAATATTCACTGAAGTGTGTAAATAAGCATTGACTGACCATTCTTCTGACAAGCAGGTGGTTCAGAGAATGGTCACAGTATATTACTAGTAGTTTGTTGCTCTTGTCTTACTCCAAGTGTGGATGATAACCTCTTTTTGTCTCTTTTTTTTTCCCCTGTAGTGAGCATGGACCTTCAGGGGGCGCCTGGATCATTGTGTTATTTGTGAAATAAATTTCCAAACAAAACAGATTTGTCTGCTGCGGTTATTTCAACCTAAAGTTTAACTCTGAGGTCAGTTTTATTTGATTTGGAAATCTGATGCCTTGACTACTTTTTAAGGTAAGACACTGAAAACCAATCCCGTGTCCACTCAGATACATGGGCGAAGGAATCCAGTTCAGGTTGTGTCGTGATGTTTGTTTTGGTGCTATTAAAAATTCTCCCCTGAAAGTGGGCTTGTGGATTTGCTCATTTTCCATTCTTGGCCACTAGATGGCATCGCTGCCCACAGTCAAACCAGTGAGGCTTGACCATGGCATAAAATGTAGAGAAGAATTTGGCTTCACCCTTTGAGATACGGACACTCTGTTCCTGTTTTAAATTTTATATTGCCCATAATACCATGGCAAGTATTAAATTACCTATCTGCTTTTGGGTAATCTTGCTTCTGATCATTATGATATATCGTTGCCTATTAAGCCTAAGTCGTTTTTGTGGTAGTTCAAGTAAATGTTGATTTGAGCAGGACCGCATGTCTTAAACACCTCCCACTGCCTGAAATGACAGTTGTCTGAAATTGATAACGCAGACTAACCAAAACAAATGGGTTCAATATAACCAAACATCTTAATAGTCAACTCCTTGGCTCCTTTCTGTGGATTCTGCTAACTGCCAGTCAGATCCATCTTGAATTCACATAACGTGTATGGATTCTACATCTATTGAAGCCTTTTCCCTGGCTAGTGTCTTGGGAAGGGGGGGTAACGTATTCCTTGGCTCGCTTTAACCGTGAAGGTAATTAGTCCCAGTGAGCTGCTGTGGACGGGCTAGCGGTGCCACTTAGCGTGTGGTCTTCAGCACCTTGTCCAAGCAGCAGCTGGGGCTCGTTTATGCGTGCGCGCGATTCACCCGTCAAGGCTGGGTGTCGGAGTGGGGGGGGTGGGGGATTCTGGCAGGGAGGCTTCCAGAACGGCATTGCTGAGAGTGTTTAGGGTAGATAATACCGCTGCTCCTCTTCATTCTCTGCGTTGAGGGCCGTGTGGTTGAACCTGCAGTGAGTCAGCAGGTCAAGGGTGTGAGGAACCCTGGGGACACCAGTGCCACCGTCTGAAATGGGAAGGAGACAGACAGGCTGTGACACAATGGGAACGTTCAGTATTAACGCTAAATTACTGTGCTTAAGTGTATATTCTGATTTAGACCTTTTAATGGGAACACTTAGGTGTGCTACTGATTGCATTGCCACTGTGGCGTACAGCACGAATAACTTTGCTACGTGAATCTATACTAGAAGCTCTAAGGTTAGCTTGATTCTAACCTTGGAATCTGTTTAAAACGTCTTTTAACGTGAGTATGAAACTGACAAATTGTTTGGCTAAAGACAAGCATACAGAAACAAACTATACACAAGCAGTACGTGGAGCAGAGAACATGTATGGTGGGACTAAATGTGCACAAGACCTTTCAGATGTGCTTCAGGTGGATTAGCAAATAATTTCATGTGACACAGGGTTGGAAGAAATGAACAGGGACTGTATTTGGGTATGACTTGGGGTGGGTGTTACAAGCACCAGGGGGCATAGAAGCAGACATTTTGGGGTCAAAATAAGGACACAGCATACAAGAAACAGACTGGGGGGGATGTTCTACAAAGCAGGATTGATCATTATCAGTTAGCTGGGTTAACTTAAGATGAAAGTCATGACTGTCCAATAGGATTATTATTAGGCTCATTACCTAAACTCTTATTGGACAGCATGACTTTCAGCTTAAGTTAACTCAGCTTACTGAGAAATCCTGCTTTGTGGAACAACCACTATGTGTCAGGTCCTGGAAAAGCCTGTCTGGCTCCGGCATCGGTCTGGGTGTTTGTTCTGGTAGAGTTGGACAAATGGAACCCTGATTTGCAGGATGGGTGAGTTGTATGGATGAGCATGTCACCTGACTTCCTCAACTCATCTCGCGGAATGTCGTACACAGCAAATTTACCCAGGTAACATGCATTAATTCCCTCTTTTTCAATAGCAGAAATGTTGAGTTCATTTTCAACAAGGTAAACCTGTAGAGTGCAAATTTTAGCATTTCACTAGTGTGATTAAATCACTGTCCATACAGAGCTGGTAAGCCCTGATACAGAACATTTAGTACAGGGAAGTTTTTCATTACTGAGTCCCACTGAGAATGGCTGAGTGCCATTGATACAATGTTACAGCACCACCCAGCTGGATGGCTTCTGAGATAGGCCCCTACAAACACTCCGCAGACATTAGTATCCTTCAATCTAAGCCCTAATTATAGGCTGGTGCAAAGTCAATAAAATAATTAAACACCCCCGCCCCAAATTCAAAGATGATGTGAGCACATTCATCTTTCAGCCAGGAGGGAATCTCCGATTTGGAACGCCTCTTAAAAACGGCATTTTCCCAACTGCTTCGCAAGCTGAAATAGACCTCCATCCCAGGCAAACGCATTTTCCACAGTCAGTAAAATCCATAAGGAAAACCAACATCTCCCAGCCTTCAGTTAAAAGGCAGTAGAAAATTTCCATTTCACATCCCCAGAAATCCTTCAATTTCCCTTCTTTTCCTATCCTTCCTGTCTTTGCGTTTTTTTGCCTCAGTCTGTATTTTTATTTGCTGTTTTCACTTTTTTGTGGCAAATCCTTATGGCTTTCTTCTATGTAATGCATACAGACAAGCCACCACTAGTCTACAAAGTGCATTTATTTGAGTATACTACCCTCTCAGGTTTGTGGTCGTGTATGCTTTGTGGGTATAATGTGACATTAACTAAAAGTGGCATCGCCTTTTGCGAGTGATGACTGCAGTCTTCTACAAAGACGCGGTATCTACGTCTCACACAAAGTGCCAAGATCATAAACGGTAACTTTTATTACTTTGCAGGTTTTAAGAAGACCTTGATTCCCGAATGCTAATTAACTAGCACATTATGATACATCTGTCTAGGCCGTCATCTCTGCAACTGACACGGACAAAACCTCTGTCCGTCTCTGTCTGGAAGACTGATAAATTATATCTGCTCTGAGAGAGGACGCTGTTTAATGGAGTTATGCTTAATGAGGCTCATTTGAAGGCAGAGACAATGTTTTGCCATTGCAGTTTTCACCCGACACTCTGCGAGGCATCGATTGCACGTACTGCAATGCAGTGAGACCCCCCCCCCAGGGAAGACACTGTGCTGCTAACTGAAAGCTCACTCTCAGGCCCTCACCTTGAGGGTAACCTCACGAGTGAAAAATAGAACAAACATCGCTGCTTGTGTTCCACGCGTCAGTCACGACACGTCCGTCTGCGCCTTGTGGACTCACAGTGAAGAGCAGGGGGACAGCGCTCCCCCCCCCCCCAAACCACTCCTGCCTCATACACAAAAGCATCCAGGATGGGATAGTTTTTATTTTTTCAGAAGTCCTTCAGTTTGTTCCACATATCTTACTGCTTCCCCTCCGAGTCCATTTTCCCGCTGGTTAGAGCCGTCAAGGCTACGCCGATGTGTTTGTTTGTCAATGCGGCTCCTGTCCTCCTCCGAAAACGACACGGTGCCGCTCTCTCCAGCTCCAGGTGTTGTTTAGCTCTTTTGTTCCTCCCACATTTGTTCACTCATTTGTTTAGTTTGTCCCTGGATGTAAATTGCTCTCAGTAACCCCATCTATTTAAATGGTGTCTATTTATGAGACCAGTCTCTGCTTCCGCCAGTGAGGGTTTTTTTTAGTTAATTTTTGGAAAATTTGGGTTTCTGTTAATGTCTTTCCCTCTTACGAAACGTATCTGTGTAGGCTAACTAGGAACTATCATGTGGAACGCGTTGCACAGTCCAAATGGCAATACCTGGAACTGCCGCTATAAGTTCAACTTAGCATGAAACATTTATATTATTTTCCAACATGAATAATTAACATCTACACCAGAGGGGCCCAAACTTGAAAAACAAAACAAAAACCAAACTTGAATGAGGGCCATGGGCCAAAACTAAATGTAACATTATTTCAAGCTGTATTATATTAAAATGTAACATATAACAAGGCCTCCTCCATTTAATCTTTCATAATATTCAACACCATATTACTCTAATGCATTTAACTAAAAATATAATAGGAAGATCTGTATGAGGTCAGGGTTCAGTTCTCGCCCCAGCATGTGTGGGGTTTGCATGTTCTCCCCGTGTCGTGGTGGGGTTTCATCCACATACTCCGGCTCCCCCCCATCTTCGAAGAACACGCTGAGGTTAATTGGAGTTGCAGAACTGAACATAGGTTAGAACGTGAGTGTGAGCGGTGAGCGTGAGCGGTGAGCGTGTCCTGCGATGGGTTGATGCTCCATCCTGGGTTATTCCCTGCCTCATAGCTTCCAGTATAGGCTCTGCTACTCTGCATAGGATAAGCAATTCAGAAGATGGATGGATGGATGGATGGACGGACGGACCGTGGGCCAAATCAAAGCTCACCAAGGGCCAGCTTTGGTCTGATGGTCCTAGTCTTGGTCACCCTCATCTAAACAAATATAATATATGACATCTGCCATTTAAATCCTCATTTATGCAGTCACACGAATACAGGAAAACCATACTGGTATTAAAACAAAAAAGAAATATTATAAAATATACCTCTGCCTCTATCGTTCTGTCAGCTCTTCTGATTCCTTGCTGTCTCTTCTCTAGGCTTTCAGACATGCAGCCAGAATCTGAATCAGTTCAGAACCCAGAGTACCGGAATGTTTTACAGAATTTTTAAATACGAAATAAACAGCAATGACCTGGTCATTCATTATTAATATGCGAAAAGAAAGCTCTAATGTGTCTGTCTGTGATTTTCTGTGGGAGGCACCTGGACAGCAGCTCGAACATACAGTTTAGTCAGCATGCTGAGCTTGTTCATTTTAAACTGGCTTTTGTCATTCGACCTTCACACGAATGGTTAAATGTTCACTCAGTTCGGATCGGTTTCCGCGCTTAGGTAACGAGCACCCGTAAATCCAAAATAAACACTCTGGATCCTAGCAGTGCTGTTTCTGGTT